CCCCCCCCCCGGCCCCCCCCCCCCCCCCGCTGCCCGGCAGGACTATTACTGTGGTGGTAGAAGCGTTATTCCTATTTAAAGTAGGGCTTTGCATTGCTGGAAGCCACGCTGAGCTGCCCGGAGAAGCCGCGTCACAGCCGTCTAAAAGATCACCAAGGAACAGGCCCCAGGGTCTGCCCAGACCACCTCCCGCTCCATGGTTGTGGCCCCACAGCATCGTGGGGCCGGCCTGCCTGGGAACCAGCGTGAGCACGGGGCAGCGGCTCCACCCAGCAGGAAGGAACCCTTGGCTGAGGAGCCGCTCAGCCTGAGGGGGCCTGCGAGGGCCGGCGGGAAGAAGGCCTTCATGGGAAATGGGGCACATCGCGGGAAGGGGGAGAGCAACCTCCCCCCACGTGCTCCAGAGAGGAGCTGCCTGCAGGTCCTTGCTTTGCCGCCCCCCCCCCCCCCCCCCCCCGAAAGAGGGAGCCGCCCTGCCTGGGCCACAGGGAAGAGTGGCCCGAACCCGTCCGCTGGGCCCACAGAGCCAGAGCCACCTGAATAGCAACTGGGGAGGCCGGCCCGGCCCGAGCTGCCCGCTGAGGCCTTGGCACTGACCCCCCGCCCTGGAGATCTGACTGGCAGCCCCGACCACAGGCACCGTCTCCTTGCTTGCCAAGACACGTCACTTTGGGAGGCAACCGACTGCCCGGAAAGGCGGGCTACGAACTCAGCAGGGGAATTCATGAGCGCACAGAAAAGGCGCCCCCTCCCACCCCGGAAAAGCGAAGCGGGCTGCAGGGCAGCTGCGGCACCAGGCTGCTTTTCCTCACCCCACTCCCTTTTCAAAACACGCCCCATGAGGCGCTCTCGCCCCCTCGCCCTCATCACACGTGGCCCCCCCCGCCTGCCGCTGCCCCGCGAGTGTCATGGCTCGTCCCGCCGCGTCCCTGGGGTTTCCCTCAGACACCCGCAGAAACGCTGCCAACTGCCGCTGGGCTGCAGAGGCACGCGGTGGTTGGGAGGTGCCTTCAGCACCCCGCTGAGCTACCCCCAGACCCTGCTCAGGGACGCCCCCCCCCCCGTCCGAAACAAGCTCTGTGCATGAAATGCCGGCTGCACCTCAGGACAAGCAGTTTAGCTGCACCCGCAAGTGCATTCGGAGGCGGAGGGAGGGCCGGGCGGAAGCAGCCGAGGACCCGGGGGGAAGCGCCAAAGGCAGGCTCAGGAATGGGATGCACGACCGGGAGGCGGGAGGGCGGGGGAACCTCCTGGTGCAGAGCACTGCCGGGGCCCTCCAAGCCCGTCAGACTGCAGCTCCCACTGTCCCCGTCGGTCGATGGGAACCGTGACCCAGCTCGTCGGAGGGGGCCGAGCGGGGGGCCCAGTTCAGGAAGGCAGCAACCTACCCACTTGCTCCTGAGTGATGGTCACTGTCGGGAGAGAAGAAATCTTTTCTCTGTCTGCCGGGGGGGGTCCCGTGCTTTCCAACTGTCCCAGAAGCTGCAAAAGCGGCGAGGGGGGTGGGGGGGAAAGGAGGCGGTTATGCTTCACTGCAGAAATGCGGTCATTGCGACGTCTGAGAGCAGGGGAGAGAACTCCCCACAGGAGGAGAGCGCAGAGCTTACAGTGGGCAGGTGCAAAACGCAGCTGCTCACGCCGCAGAACGGGGGGTGGGGGGGGCGGGCCCTGCAGGAGCCTTTGCGAGCAGGAGGCCACCTTCCGCGCCGGCCGGCCCACCTCTCCTCCGCACGCAGCACGCAGGAGCTGGGGAGTGCCGGGAGACATCCGCTCCGTTGTGCGGCCACAAGCCCCGGCATCGTCCCGCAGGATGGAAGGGCACGCTCCGTGCCCCACTGCAGCACCACAGCTCTTCCTCGGAACCCGCACCTTGCGCACAGCAAGCATCCACGACGCCCCCCGGCCTCCGCCGCTTCTCCAGGTGGGGACCGTTAGGCCAGCCTGCGACACAGCCTGCTCTGGGGCGGCCCACGTGGCGGAGCGGCTGGGGATGCTGCACCTCCGCCAGGAGGAAGGGCTGCATCTCCTGAGCACCCCACTTCCCACGGGCTGAACACGCACGGCAGCAGAGCCCTGCCTGACGAGCCGGCTGCGGGGATCGGCCGGGCCGGCCCGCTGCAGCCCCAGTCCTGCGTGAGGGCAACCCAAGAGTGAGTTGCACGAGTTACCAGCGTGGCCTCTTCCGGACTCGCCGAGCCCGCATGGGGCGGCAGAAGGCAGCTCTTGTGCCACGGAAGGCAGGTGACGCCTGGGTGGGGAGGGCCGCCTTCGCGGCTCGGCTCACACGCTCCCCTCCCTCGGCGGGAGGCTTGACGGCTCAGGCCGGCCAGCGTCTCTCCAAGCTGCGTGCTGCACCCTTGAGCAAGAGGCCGGGCTGGAGGACTGAGACCCGGCGGCAGGGCTGGGGAACCCCTTCCAGCCCCCAGGCTACATTCAGGGCCAGGCTGAAGGCAAACGGACGGGACCAACCCACCAGCCCCCACCCAAAAAGGCCCATTCCAGTGTCAAGCGATTCCTGTCAGAAACTGGGCCGCAGGGGAGGCAGGATGGAGGGGAAGCGCCTGGAGGCCAGGAAGCTCAGCCCAGAATGCACTGGCAACCGGCGGCCGGAGGGGGCAAGCGGCATGAGGCTGGGCAGGGCATGCAGCCGGGTGGAGGTCTGCAGGGAGGCCGGCTGGGGCCCACAGGCCTGAACCTGCCGACACAGCCAGCACGGGCGCACTCAACACTCCCGCAGCATTTGGAAGGGTCCTCTGCAACGCCAATTGCACACGTTGGCGGGGAACCAGCGCAATGCAGAAGCCGGGAGGCTCGGCTGCAGAGCGTGGTTTTGCGAGGAAGCATGAGGCGCCTCGGGAGAGCTGCTCTCGCCGCCTCAGTCCCCCCAGGACGAAGACGGCCAACGTGCCGCACAGGGACGGGGTCAAAAGGGCAAGACGGCGATGCGGACGGGGGAGATGGAGCACCGTGCAGGGCCACACGGTCAGGACTGGGGCCTGAGCGACCCTGCCAGCGCCTGCAGGGCCAGGAACACCTTGGCAGGCGCCGGCAGGGAGCCGCGGAAGGGCAATGGAGGCCGGCAGGAGGGGCCTCTTGCCACAGCCACGCAGGTGGTCTCCGGGGCTCCTCGCGTCCCGGCTCATCCTGGTGCCCGCCCGCCTCCTGCTTCCATTCACCCTTCCAGACCAGGCCCCTGCCTCCTCCCTCCTGCCTGCCCTGGGACTCGACCTCCGGACCGTTTCCCTGGATTGTGACCTGGGGCTGTGCATTACGGGGCCGTGCCGTCCTGCTGGCTCGGGCCCTCGGCTCTGAAACCAACACATGTCCTGCTCCTGTCCCAGCGGCAGGAATCCACCTTGCACCTGCGTGAGGTGTGCAGCCGAGCAGCCCCATGCGGAGGCTTGGAGGCGGCGTGCCACATCCCCGGCTTCCCAGCCCCAACAGGCGAAGGCGCCTGGCTCAGGAGGGAAGGTGCGATGCAGCCGGTGCCAAGAGGAGGAAGGTGCCTCTGGGCAGGTGCGACCTGCCGGCCTCTTTACCTGTGTGACAACAGCATCCAGGCCGCTCTGTCCCCAGGCGTAGTCCCCAGGACTCGAGTGCAACATGCCACCCCTGGAGGTAGGGAGAGGGAGAGACACTCAAGAGGGGAACTGCAGAGTTCGGGGAGGGCAGGGGGTGAGTTGGGGGGCCGGCCTCACTACCCCGCGTTTTGAGTCACAGGACGGTAAAACCCTACACAGCCGGCGAAAGGCCTTTCCTCCTCAATCATGGCCTTCAGTGCCCCAAACCAGCTTGCCACGTGGCTGCCTCACCCGGGAGGGGCAGCTAATGGCCAGCGGGGCAGGAGAGCAGGTGAGGGACGCCTGAGCCCCCAGGAGAGTCCAGGTGTGAGCTCGGGGGAGGGGAGGGGAGGGGAGTCGCGGCCCAAGAGGCATTCTCTGTCCCCACGACAACAGGCTGGAAAGGGGCGATTTGGAGAGGGCGGTCCCAAATCTCCGACCCCTGGCTGCCGGAACGCCCCCCTTCGCCGCTCCCCTCACCACACGCCCCCACGGCAGTGCGGCCAAGCCTCAGCACGCTGCTCGCCAGCACCCAGAACAGCCAGTGAAAGTCGTCACCAAGCGCAGCCTTAACTCACCAAGAGAAAGGGGGAGGCGGGGAGCCCGGAACTGTCGAATTCGCTAACAGGCCGGCAAAGAACTGCTGTATTATTCTGTGCAGGAGAGAAGATTTGGGAACGGGGTGACGGAGGGGAGGGGAGGGGAGGGGAGGGGAGAAGCACGTGTGCAAACGAGCGGCAGCCGGGCTTGCCTGCGCAAAGGGGCGTCTCCTGAAGCACCTCAAGAACCTGGCAGACTTTTTCTGGCCGCAGATCCTAAAACCCCCTTGGCCAAGACACGAAACGTTCTCCTTGGCTGGTGTATGTGAGATGGGGCAGAAAAAAGGTACCGTGTGGGACCAAGAGAGGTGGGCCGACAGAGTCCCAACCACGCCAGAGACACCACCCCGTCGCCGTTAATGCTAATTTAGCCCGCTGGGATTTTGCTGAAGCCCGGTCTGCACAGACCCAGATCCGCCCGTGAACGCCAGCCCGGCACCTCCACACCTCTCCAAGCCTTGGTTTCGGGAGCCCGGCGACTCCTGGGCTCGGAGGCAGAGCACCCAGGCACAGAAAAGCCACCCGGCTGCTTCCGGAAGCGCGTTTTGCCCCCAGAGGGCCCCCCGCACCCTGCCCCCTGGCACATCCTTACCCTTCAATGGCAGGCGACCGGCTGGGCCGTGTGGTGAACCGGGGCCTGTTCCGCAGCGTCATGGGCAGCCGCGGGGGCCTGCTCGGCCCCCAGAAGTCCGCGTGGGCCTGGTGGCCCCTTTCGCTGTCTCTGCCGTCATGGTCCAGAGAGCTGCTCAGGAACGGAAAGACCATCGAGCGATCCAGCTGGTCCCAGAACTGGAGGAGCGGAAAGGGAGGCACTTGAGCAAACGAGCCCAAAGGACGAGCGCTGCGTGCGTGCGTGCGTGCGTGCGTGCAAGGCGGATGGAAACACACCAAGGTGCCATGCCGGGAGATGGAGAGGAGGTCCTGGTGCATAAACCCATGCAAATTTGCCAAAAATGCAGAGTTAATTCTGCCTCCGCTCCTCGTGGGGGGAGGCGTACGATGGTGCAGAGCTCTGGAACACCAGCCAGCCACTCATGCTCAGGCCTCTGAAATTCGCCATTCACTCCTGGGCCCTCCTTCACAGTCTTAAGCACTGGAAACGTGTTTAGTCGGAAGCCGAGAACCTCAACAGACTGGCAAATACGCCAAGCCCACCCAAGAGGAACGGCACGCGGCCTCACGGGCCCAAGACCAGGGGACTCGCAGCCCTTCTTCCTCCCCCTGCAGCGCCTTCCCTGGAAATGGCTTCCGGCCTGCAGCTCCTTAGCGCTGAGACACAAATGCGACTGGACGCCAGGAAACGGCAGATGGGGCGAAAGACGGCAAACGGGAGCCGTGCTTCCCAACGCCTGTACAAGCCCACTGCTCAGGGCGGCCTTGAAAACCGGCAGGGTTGCTTACCCAGTTTTGAGCATTTGCAGAGGGGGTGGGCTGCAGAAAGCAAGCCAGTGTCGAGCCAGACATCCCGCCGAGGCAGGGCTGCTCTGCGCCCGGTACAGGGTGCCGCTGGGCGAACAGCTGGTCGGGCCTGCAAAGCGAACTGCCTCCTGCCGCCTGAGCAGGGCCTGCCAGGCACCTGGGGGCCTGGGCACCCGAAAACCACCTGCCAGCCAGATGCTCAGTGCCTGCAGGTAAGCTGAGCCTCCCAGATCACTTGACACAGAGTAATGCTCTGGCATGGTTTCCAGGCGGGCAAGGTGAAATTCAAGCCCCGGCGTTCTCTGGAGCCCAGCTCTCCTGCTCCATCTGGGAAACCACCGAGTCTGTTCCTCAGTCCATCTAGACCAGCAGTGTCAGCACGGGCCAGCAGCGAGGGCTCTCCAGGGTTTTCCAGCCCTACCTGAGGACGGTGAGGACTGACTCAGGTGCTTTCCGAAGGCATGCCAACAATTATGCCTCTGAGCTGCAGTCCCTCAGTTAGAGTCAGTCACTCTGGGGCGCTCAGTTCCTTTGCTTGGGGCTCTTATTCACTGCACATGGTCCACAGACCAACTTCCAAGTAGGGGTGGTTGAAAATTCAGTTGGCAACTCCAGACTAGAAGAGTTTGGGTTTTTTAGAAGGGAGATTTCAGTCCATACCAGCACAGGAAAAGATTGATAGTTGGCTGTTCACTTGTTTTGAGCCAATTCCCAAAAAGCTTCTGAGAGTCAGTGTAATGCAGTGGTTAAGAGTGCGCAACGGGGATTTGGGTGACCCGGGTTCGAGTCCCCACTCAGCCATGGAGCCCACGGGATGACTTTGGGCCAGTCGCAGACTCTCAACCCAGCCTACCTCACAAGGTTGTTGTTGTGGGGTTTAGACTGAGAACAGGGGGAGAAGGATGATGCAAGCTGCTTTGAGTGCTTTAAAAAGGAAAAAGGCGGGATATAAATATAATACATGAAATAAACAAATCCTTAAAAATGCTTGATACCGTGGAGAGCACTCTCTGGCTGCCAGCAGTTCGGAAGGTGCTAGAAATCATAGAAATATCTGTGTTTTAAGATCCCCTGTTCATGTTGTGTGAACCAAGCCAATGTGAGAACCGGCTACTTGCAGGGAATCCTGGGCCAGGGTTCTGGAGCAGGAGTGACTGGCTCCTGCAGCTGGAAACAAGGCTTCCCCAAGACAGCAAGGCCCTGGGACACTTTGGACCCCGGGGCAAGAAGGCTCAGACTCTCAACACGTTCACAGTCAAGAGCTGCATCGTGTGGAAACCCTCTTTCATTTTTGTGAAATATGCGAGCTGGAAAGGTGGTCTTCTCCCACTGGGGATCTTAAGATGCGTTGGACTGCAATTCCCACAATTCTCAGCCAGCCTGACCATTGGAATTATGGGACCTGCAGTCTAACTCATCGGGACAGCACCAGGCTGGGGAAGGCCACTACAAGAAATGGGCTGCTTTTACAACATTTTCCTCTTTTCCAAGCAAAGACTTCTGAATAAAGCTGACCAGACATTATTTATACCATCTAGAGCAGAAGTGGAGACTTTGGGGGTCACTTCCCCCTGCAGGGACTCTCTCCCACTTAGCCAAAACACTGGCAATTCTCAGCGGCAACCAAGCCTTCAAAGGGACAAGACTAGCTTGAAAACTAGCTGAAGGATGGCCTGCTACCTCTTTCACTGCCACCAGCCTGCGAAATTTCAGTGGCGGAGGCCGCTCTTGATTTTGTCTTCTCGGCCTTGCTTTAGATGCAATGCTGGGCAAGACCAACCGCACTTGGAATAAACCGTAGCAGCTTGTGGACTTGCCCGACCCTCCCTTGGCACAGGTGTGAGGGAAAAACTGGAAGCATTGCTTCCACTTTGAAACTCGTCTGTGCTGTGCCATTGTAGCCAACAACAGGCTTTGGTTAGTTTAAACTATGGTTGTTGACACAAACCAAGATCAAACTGTGGTTTCCGATCCTGGCTTGTTTCAACAAGTCACAGATGGAATGGTGAGTTACACTTGCACCAGGCCTGTTTCTGTGTCTTCCTATGCACATACTTTTTCGTAAGCAGAAGATCAAGTACTGGGGGGGCAGTCTGACTCTGGAACGTAGCTGTGACCAACCCTTCCAAAATGTCCAGGGTAACCAAAAGCAAGGATGGTCTGAATTTCAGTGGACTATGAGCAGAGAAGAGCAGAAGATTGCTGGAAGCCCAGCCCCTCGTCCCTTTGCAACTGCACAGCTCTGGGCCACACAGGGTTAGTGCTTGGGTGCTCCCGAACCAGTCAGCCCCCAGGCATATTAACACACACACACCCCTGCCCCAAGGAGTTTGAGGAAGCCAGGATTAAGGTCTGCAAGTAAGAGCTGCATTATCTGACAAAACGGGGCTCAGGTGCAGTATCCCTGCGGGGCAGTTAGACGTTCAAAACAGACGGATGGCGTGGCTCACACGCCCTCGAAGCAGCAAGACCGAAGGCCAGCCCGCGCCTGGCACACTCTTGCCTCACACAGCGTCAGCAAGGCTGTGACAGCCGGAACTGAAGAGGAGGATGAGCTCAGCGATGGGAAGCTGGCTGAGGTTGCTGAAACAGCAGCAAGTTTTGATATGCTGAGTGGAGGTGCTAAATCCAGAAGCAGCAGTGGCCCTCCAGGGGTTGCTGGGAAGCTCTATTTTCAGGGCAGCTTTATTCTGAAGGAAACCGCGTGTAGAGCTGAGGAGCCGGAACACGCTGGATCGCATGCAGAAAGAGGCTGACTTGTTATACGCTTACACTTGCTGGTCCTCTCATCTCCAGCTCCCCTCGGGCTTTGTCTTTTCTAAAAATCAAGGTTTAAGTTGAGCGAGGACTGTCATTGAGCTGTGGACTCTAGTGATATCTGATCCTAGTCCAGCAATAATAATTTATGGTTTGTTAATCATGACCAACCCATAATTTACATCCCGGACACAAACTATGGCTTCTCCATGGTCACAAAACTGTTTTGTTACTTGACTACCCACACGTCAACAACACACAATGCAACAACTACCCACATTCCACCACTAAGTGTGCCTAAGTCAGCTAATGCCCGAAACCACAGCCAGGAAGAACACAGCACAACATGACAAAAAAGGATATACTGTAAAACGGTTCCAAGAAAGATGCGAGTAAAACTCGTGACGAAAGAACAAGGGCTCTGGAGTCTCCAGAGGGGCCAAAAATGCCCTTCAATGTCTCCTGCACTAACCCGGCGATGCCCAGAGTGGGTGGGGAAGAGATCCGGCCGGGGGGCAGTTGGTTGTTTTAACTTTGCAGTAGAGCAAATAGCAAGAATAGAAAGAAAGAGATGTTTGGGCACCAGGGGTTTGCCCAAGAGGAAAGGGAGCGGCAGCCCAGAAAGGCCTGGGGACCACTGCTCTAACCACTAGACTGCAATGTTCTGCTCCCTTACCCACCCCAGTGTAGGAATTAAGTCCATGTGGGACAACAGGAAAAGGGCTGGATTGATCCCAAGAACCCAGGGTTCAAATTCCCACCAGGTGACCAAAGGGCGAGTTGGTCATTCTCAGCACAACCTGCCTTGTGAAAGCAAACCTGGGGGTGGGTGGAAAAAGACAGAACATGTGTTCCACACTGAGCTGGCCCAGCAGGAAGAATTCAAATTGTGACGGCCGGCTCGGTCACCCACTCCAAGTGTTATGAAGAAAGATAACAGACAATCAAGTTTTGGGCACTTGAGTGTGTACTATGTTGTATATAATCCACACAACAACCCTGCAAGGTAGATCAGTATTAGTGCCCCACATGCCAACTGGGGCTGGGAAGTGAAAGAGGCCAGGACAACATGGCAGGTCTCTGAGGCAGCAACTGAGGCAGGACTCAGACCGGAGTTGGCTCCACTTTCCAGGCTCTGCCTTAAGCGGCCTAAAACGCAAAGGGGGCGCTGTTGGCGGTGACGGGAAGACGGGCCGGGCTGGGAGCTGGGCTCCGTCACACATGTTTCCTGCTCACCCAGCCCCTGCCTGCTCCTCTGTGGGATGAGACACCAAATCAAGCACATCTCAGAGGAATCTGCAACAGTCACCCACCTAAATATACAATTGCTTCAGCTCAGCGCTATAATTAACATGCTTATAATTAACTTGCTTGCAATACATCTGCAAAAAGCAGTGAGTCGGCCTTTTCAGCAAAGGCCCTGCCAGCCTTGCTTCCCTTCAGCCAACAGTTTCAGAAAAAAACGGGCCCCTGGAAGTGTCCTGCTTGTTGAAGAAAGGCTCGGCGTCTCGCACAAAACATCGCTGACCTGAAGCTTCTTGTCCTGAGGTAATTTAGACACCACCCAGCCATGAACTGCGACTTCTGGCTTCTCTGCAACCTGTCCTTCTCTACCTTTCTGGTCAAGCGCTTCACAACTTTCCTCTCCCTAAAGCGATCCCCCTGAAGAGCCGAAGGAAAGCACAGCAGTGGGAACAGATGAGCTGCCTAAAGCGCAGCCCCCGACCGGTGCACCTGTTCCACACGTCCTGCCCCCCCCCCCCCCGCCAGTCAACGTATTCCTAGGAAAAGCCTTACCTCCGCAAATGGGGTGGAAGGGCTGTCGTCGATCCCGCCGCCGCCGCCTTCTAGAAAACTAAGGAGAGACATCAGGTGAGGACACAGGGGGCCCAGAAATACGGCCGGGGAGGCCCGCCTCCTGGGTGGGGCTGGGGCTGGGGCTGGGGCTAAATATAGGCCGAGGGCTGGCTGCGGGAGCAGATTCTCCGCCAAGGAGCAGGAGGCCACGTGGGCGGGCAGGAGGGAAAGGGCGGGCAGGGTGGACTGCACAGTTCCTGGGCCAAAGAAGCGGCACGGCACAGGTGCCGACAGCGCTTTCCCCCACGGAGCGTCATGCATCGGCGCGGCCGCGCAGCGACCCTGCAGGGATGCTCGGGGGTGCGAGGCCACCGCTGGCCCTTCCGAGCCACGGGAAGCGGAACGGGGCGTTCCTGCCTCTGGCCAAGGACCCGAGCCCACCCCCAGCCAGCGACCCTCGTTTCATTTCGGCGGCGCCCAACGGCGGCGCCGCGCCTTCCTGGGAAGTTTATGAAGGTTGTGACTTCAAAAGGACAGCACAGAACGGAGGCTGGCCTGCTTTGGGCACGACCTAACGAGGCCAGGCTCCCTGGAGAAGGCAGGAACGCAAGGGAAGGTCGAAGGCAGGAGAAAAGGAGGAGGACCAAAGAGGAGATGGACGGGCTGCACAATGGAGGGCCCAGCCTTGCATCTACGGGCAAGACGCTTCGCAGGGGCGCCCGTTCCTAGCAGCGCCCTAAGCCAGAGACGATGCGGCAGCACGTCACAACCTACTAGCCTGAGATCGAAAGACACAGCAACACAGCCTTTAATGCAAAAAGCAGTTGACGATGGACGGTACAGCTCCCAGGACTCACTGAAAGCCCATCGGAGGCTGTCAAGGGCCTGGGAGTAGAGGAAGGCCTTTGCTTGGTGGCCCTGGCAGGAGAGCTGGGGTGGGGGGCGGGGGGCTGCCGCCGCCCCTGGTGTGGCTAAGCAAGACCACCAAGCTGCACATGAGCCGCAATCTGGCCAGTAGCAAAGCCTGGCAGATGGAGACTGCCGGTGCTCTGCTGCATTTAAGGCATCGTGCCCCGTGGAAAAGTTTCCCACGGGAAAAGTGTTGCGCTGTGTAAGGAGCAAGAGAGCCTGCCCGGCATAGCTAAGCCCCTGGTCCGGGCCTGGCCTCGGAGGAAAGACTGCGCAGGTGGAAGAAAAGCCACCTTGACCTTTGCCAAAACGTTTCTATTTCAAGGAGAAGCCAAAGGGCACCTCCAGCCTCCCTGGACGAGCAGCATGTCACGGGGAGATCACCCTGGTCCCACACAGGAGCACGTACAGGCGGCTCCCCTCACCCCTCCTGGCCAGAACAAGCCCTTTCAGGATTTTGAAACTAAACTCTGGGGGGTGAGATTTGCTTGTCTTTCCTTTTCCTCCTCCCACGCAATGCTATTTCCTTTTGTGTTGCATCTTTTAGGCTGTAAGCCTGGGGTGAAGATGGTTTCCTCCTTAATTTTTGTAAGTTACACTGGGAGCTTTGGGTCAAGGACAATGTCCACGTCCGTAGAAGCGGCTGCACCTGCACTCTTCAAGGCCCAAATTTTGCTGCAACGCCCTGGCTCTTGGCAAAAAGTTCCCAGAACATGAAATGCCTGTCCCTTGCGCTGAAGTGGAACCCCCGACACTCAACTGTAGCAAGGAAGGCAGACATGTCAGGCAGTTATACATGTGGATATAAACAGCCATGCTGGGAAAGTGGTGCTTCCCTGTCCAGCTGCAATCTATCTTCACGTACCACATGCTGGGAAGGAAGCAGGAAAGGTTAGGGCCCCACATTCCATGTCGGTGGGAACCCCAGAGGTATCTGGCTGCCCTGTGTTGGAAGCAGAGTACCCCAACAGAGGAGCCTTGGCACGATCGAAGCCTTGTGTTCCTGTGACCAGGTGGGAGCACAGGGGCCGGGGGGCGGGGTCAGCAACACCACGGCCACAAATGCACAAGGAGGCGGCTTGCTCCCATGCGTAACAAGGAGGCAGCACAGGGCTGAGCCGACACTTCTGAATTCCAAAGTGGCGAGGCGCTGGGGGGAAGAGCAGGGAGCATGAAGATTTTCCAGCCCAGAAGGCGACACTGAGTCATACCAGGGCTCATGCCAAATTTGGCAGCCAGGCCATAATACCCTGTAGGATGGTTGTTTTTTTTTTTTTTTTTTAACCTAGCTACCATACGCTCAGGACAAAATATAGCCAGGTATTTGGCTGGCATAATCTTCCATTTCTAACCAGCATGTCCCCCTCTGCCAATAAGCTAAGAATCAAAGAGGAAAAACAGGCTCTCCCCGCCAACGCAACTGCTTCCACTTCTGAAAGACAGTCATTGACACTTCTTTCTGCGGGAGCTGAAGAGCAGGACCCCCCCCCCAAAAAAAACCCCACTCTGTGGACAGCAAATCCCGGCAGACCCCGGCCAATCCCAGCACTGAGCATCTGGGGGAAGTTCCATGGGCAATACATGCAAACTGTGGCCGATTTCACTCAACCTCAGACATAGGAAGCGCATCTACTGACATAAGCATGTGGCAAAAGATACCTGGAATCATCTGTCACTTCTTCAATAAAGCCGGAATCACATCTGGGGCACGTGTACTCCTGCAGAAAGAGGGAGGGAGGGAGACGGTAGTTTTAGGCCCAAAATGCGGTCAGGCAGAAAATACCCACACAAAAGCCAGCCCTGGGCATTTGAGCAGTCAGCAACGGGCAGGCAAAGGCCTGGGAGCCTGCCAAACGACCCCCCCACCTCTGCGTAGACACATTTTATCCTCACGACGGACCTGCGTGGTAGGTCAGGCTGAGAGACAGCCGCTCGCGGGGGCCCAGGGTCAGTGAGGGGCCCTGCGCCTCCGTGGGGTTTGAACTCGGTTCTCCCCGAGGCGCCCGTCACACGAAGACTGGAAACGGCCAGCAGCCGCTTCAGGGCAGACAAGAGCGAGAGAGACAGTGCACCAACGATCGACAGGCCTCAGGATGCCACCTCCACCACCAGCACGGGGGGGGGGGGCAGTGGGCAACAGGAGACAGCCGGGGGCAGATCGAAGAACCGCGGCAGCCAGAATACTATCTGGATGCGGTGGGTAGGGGGCAGGGGGTGAATTACTGACCACGGCCGATGGGAAGCCCACAGATGGGACAGCATTTCACACTGAAGAGACTGGACGGCCGCCTGCCGAGGCCGCTTCAAACTGGGGTCCAGCTCTGGGCAAAGGGGTGGACTCAGTGGCCGACACAGCCCTTTCCAGCCCTAAGGTTCCATGAGAGAAATACTTCTGCGGGTCCAGGTTATGAGGCAAAGGGCAAACGCCATGCCAGGCATAATTCGAATGGAACAGAAAACAGAGCTGCAAGACCTCCCTCCCCTCCTGCACATCTCTGGTGGGGCTGCGTTCGGAATACTGCATTCAGTTCCCGCCTCCGCACCTGAGAGGGGACATTATTGAGTGGGAGAGGACAGAGAAGGGCAAGGAAAACGATCGGGGGCTGCGCTCGCTCCCAGAGGGAGCAGCTGCAACAACCGGGACTGTCCAGCTCGGAAAAAAGGCGAGGAAGGGGAGACATTAAATAAGGCACGGTGTGGAGAAAGGGGAGGGGAGGCATTTCTTCCCCGCCCCCATGGCGCTTGAACCCGGGGCCATCCCATGGGTTTGCTGGTGGGAGACTTGGGACGGATTCGGGGGAGCACACGGTGCATGGCCGAGCTGTGGGATGTGCTGCCGGGGGCAGTGGTACGGCCACCCCCTGGGCGGCTTCAGACGGGGGCTGGCAGATCCACGAGGGAGGGGGCTGTGGGCCCCTAGCCTTGCGGGCCACGTGCGCCCTCCTTCCCCGGAGGCGGCCCGCCTGCGCGCACCAGGGGCTGAGGGGGAGGCCTTGCACCCCCCTGCTTGGGGGATCCTGCGGGCAGCTGGGTTGCCACCGTGTGTATGGGACCCTGGGTCAGACCCTTCTTAGGCTCCCACGTACAGAAGGCTATGAATGGGATGCCATGGAGTTAAAGGATGCATTTACAAGAGGGACGGAGCCAAGTAAGGTCACGCGGGAGCCACTCCAAAGAGCCCTTTGCACTCCACATGCACAAACTTTGACCTGTGACAATGAGCAGGGAGTATGAGACCAGTCTAGATCTTTAACAGCCGCAATATGTCCACGCAAGGAAGCATTTTGAAACCATTACTTGCTTTGGAACATGCACCTCTTTTGCAGGGAAAAAAAAGTTTGCCCCCAAAAGTTAAATGCTGGTATAAACTGCATTGCTTTTTCAAGTTAGATTTAGCGCTTAGAAAAGTCTGTGGTCCGGGGCACCAGTCTCATCTGGGTGGATGGATTCTCACTGGTTATATTTATATAGAGAGCAGGACTCCTGTATCCACAGAGGAAGGTTCCAAGCCCCCAAGCAAATGCCTGAAACTGCAGTATAGCAAACACTATACTGTACACATGTTTCTTTTTCCACAGTTCCATCCATAGTAGATCCGTTCTTACCATACATCGTAGCAACCTCAGCATATGAATTTTTTCTTCCCCTCTTAAATCGAGACCTTTCACTTAACGGAAGCACTGTATGACTTCTATTTGGCACCTTAAAACTTTTCTTTTGGACTCTCCTTTGGAGCGAGGTCGACTGTGGTTAAGTGAAAGCAGTAACTGAATCAGTGGCTATAGGGGTCCTGCTGTACATTTACTCTGGACATTGCTATTCCTATTACAGTGCATTTACGGCCCACCTTTTTCCCTCTTGCAAGAGTCCTCCTCCACTAAATTGCACCTACAACAACACCTCTGCAAAGTTGACCAGGCGGAGGGTGAGTGACTAGCCCAAAGCCATGGCTGAGCAGGTCCTTGACCCAGGATCTCCCAGGTCCACCACCTCTGATCTCAGCGCAAAGGGAACGCAGGATCGGGACAGGAAGTTCTCTGTCTCTTCAACCGCTGAGATCGAGACCATGCAATTCATTTAGCAAGGAACTGCTGGATTAAAAAGAAAACCTTTATATACAGATATTGTAAAGTCAGCCCTATCTACCTTCCAGCACTGAGGCATTCTGAATATTACAAGGAAGTTTCTGAAAGAATCCAGTGAGGTCTGTATTTCAAATGCTTTTTTCTGACTGCTGAAAGACGGGTGCCTTGTATATTAGTTTGCAACAGTAATATTTCCTCATTGTTCACCATTTACAACTATAACTGTAGAGTATTATTAAATGCTTTTTGTATGACATGCTAGAAACACCGAGTGCTGCCAGGCCCGGACTCCCCGCATCCTACACTTCTACCTCCTTGGTTCCTAAATGCGACTCCTTTGCCAGCACCACAGAGGAGACGATCAAGATGAATCTGTCCCAGCCTCCAGCAACTCGCACGTCTGATCAGCAACCTTGCCACCGCCTCATCCAAGCCATTTATTAAAAATGCAAGACAGTACCGTGCCCAGGACACTCTGCTGAGATTGCGCTCCATTAATTAAAAATAGTTGTCTATGGGTGATGAACTGGCTGCAGAAACGCTCAACAGCAGTAGCATCCAACTCACATTTTACCACCTCGGAGGCCTGGCCAAAAGCTTGCTGAAGGAGATATATCATGTCCACAGTATTCCCACAATCCCCCAAACTAGAGATATTTTCTAGAGGCTCACAGCCTGACCGCTTAAATCATCTGTTCCAGAATTCTGCCCAGGACTGATGCTTCAGAATAGCAAATGAATTCAGCATTCGATACTCATATCGCATAAGCAAAGGCAAAAAGAAGTGGCCTCGTCTTCTTTTTTTGTCCTAATACACCACAAATAGCTGGCCAGAAATGTTTCAGAAAAAATAAAGCACACATAACATGATTTAAATGTTATATTATATAGAAACTTTTACTATAATATTTTAACACTACATAGACAGTAGCACATACCACGTCCTTCACATACCGAAAACTGTTGATGGATTCAAACTGTAGCAGTTCAAAGAATTGTGTATCACTGTCAAGCATTCATCTATTTTCCCTTTTACAACTCATAATTAAAAACTGGTGCAATATAGAGCTCCTGATGAACTGCTTGCCTCTTTTATTCCCTGCCCACCCAGTTTGCAAAGCAGCCTCTGCGCCGGCTCACGCATTTGCCAATGAGAACCCTCTGAAGGGCACGAATGGGAATCACCTCATGTATCTGCTAGTAGTAACTGCCCGAAAATCTTAGAAACTGCCAAGTTTGCCAAATATCGCACCTGCAGCGGGCATCCCTTCTATCTTAATAAGGAACTCAGGAAACTACAGAGCACCGGAAAATGTCTAGACCTTGATCACTGCCCCCAGGATCCTGCTAGGTTTTCACTTCATCGTCACAACAACCATGTGAGGAAGGTTAGGCTGAGCCGGAGCAACTGGCCCAAAGTCTCCCAGTAGCTCTCATGGCCAAGAGGACACTTGAACGTGGACCTCCGGGGTCCCCTGGCCCAACACTCTAAGCACCACACCTTTGAACACCTTTCTCAGCAAGTCCCAGGGATATTTATAGGGCCATATTTGCCACCCCGTGCTAGGATTTCAAGTTCCTCCTGTGTTCGTTCCTGCGTTCTGTGGATCAGAATACAGGCAAGAAAAGCCACCATCGCACCTTCCTGATCTTCCTGCAACCTGTGGGCTCCATCGTCCTACGGCCTCCTTTGACATGGGTGCTCTTGTCCGGAATTCCTGGCACCACAGTTAGGACTGAATTTTGGTCATCTCCCACCCAGGAGTCCATTCAAAGCCCTCCTGATTATGGCTGCGAGGCTCCTGCCAAAAAATACAGCTCCCAGTCCCCGTTGTCCTGGCTGGGCATGTCAACAAATCAGTCGAGCAGGAAGCACTGTGCGAACAGGCAGGTTCCAGGGGAGGGCCTGAGGCTCATCCAAGGCCAAGAGGCAGGTGTGACATGCAGCAAGCAGCAGAGCCAAGCGAGGGCCGGCGGCACGGACGCCCCGGGAAGCGAGGCACAAGGCACACAGGCCGATCCAGCAACACTGCTTAGCCAGGCAGAGCCTCCTGCGCCCCAGCCAGGGCTCAGCTGCAGATTGTGATTCCTCTCCGCCCAGACTGCTTTGCTGCCGTCCCGTTTGGAGACGAGCGCGCCTTCTCCAAGTGGCTCTCGAGGCCTCTCGGGGCCCCTCAGCCCCTGCTTCAGAGACGGAGTCCCCCAGGCCATGCAGGGATGGACTTGCGGGCCTCTCCCCGGGAGCTGAAGCGTCTCCTGACATGGGCTGTTCTGGAGTTTTCTTTGCTCTGGGAGCTCTAATTCCTCCCATGAGGAATCTTCCTCCTGGGGGAGCGACTTATTATCTGCAGGGAGTCCTTCGTGCTGCTCCTGCAGGCCACCGTCCAGGAAGTGAACCTTTCCAGCCCATGTTCAGCACCCTCCTTTCTCTTCCAGGGCTCCGACCTTCAACAGAAAGGGTGGGTGAAAGTAGCAGGCGCGCCCCCGGTTCTTCCTCCCTCCTACACAGAGCACCATACTCTGCCAGCCGTTCCGCGTTAGCCAGGGCAGCCTCCAGGAAGGCAGTGCGCTCGCAGGAAGACATGTCCGGCACACACACTGCAGCCCGTGTCCCCCTCAGCAGGGACCCTGCA